CTAATATGCAGCGCCAAGGTTCAGAACCACTGGTATATGCTTTCTGAGTGTTGTATGGCCCATATTCACACAGTAAAAGAAAAATTTAAAAAAAAAATGCAGCAGCTTTTGTGGAACTTAGTATTTCTTAACCCAAATCTGTTGAAGTCCTTACCCAAGGTCAAGAAAGCCATTATCCAAACAACAGACTTAAAAATGAATTGTGGAAACAGATTCATTACGGGAAGTTGTAAGGACTTTCCACCCAATATCACATTCCCCTCTTTGGGGAAATTTCTGTACTCTTATTGTGGACAGTCTTCATAGCACTATCAATCAACATGCTTTGTCTCTTATAGCAATGAGCCGGGACAGGTGTGTTCTTCGTGGTGGGCATATGGCATAAACTAAGGAAATCAAATTCTCTTTCTGAGATCTAAAACGTGAACTAAGTGAGCCATAGTTTGTTGCTGTTAATTGCAAAGAAAGGTCCTCAAGCATTTCAAAGTGAAGAACTGCCTGCGTTACATTTTAGGAAAACATATTTTGCAAATATATTTGACCAATCTCTCTTCAATGCAAAATGTAAATATTTGGATTTACATTTATGTATGCTAAACAAATGCCTTCTATTCAGAGAAAACTACAAATACAGCTAATTTTCAAATTAAACTTATAGTCTATTTTTAAAATACTGCTGTATAAAAAATTTAGTTATTGATGCTGATATTGAACTACATATACACATGTATACATGGCAAAGCCTCAAAAATGTATGCACACTTTAACAACTGATATTTAAATATTAAAAATAAAATGTATTTTAATAAACTCTGCCTTTATAATTATTCAAAGTGTGTGTATACATTTTTGGGATACCCTACATATATAAAATTATGATACAGATGCTATTTTGAAAGATCTGAGTTTTCTTTTATATTTTTTTAATGGTTGGATTGTTTATAGAAGTGTTCATAACTTATGTTTGAATAAATTATAAAAGTTTCAAAGAGGATAAGAAATTCACTCAAATAATTCTGAAATGTCCAATTTTCTTTATTACTGCAATTACTTTAAATTGGTTTCATGACTATGCACAAATTAAGAAAATCTTATAATATGATATGATTAGATATCCATAGGGCAGTTTGATCCTAAACTTGAGCCTTAGGAAACATACTCATTAGTATAAGAATAAAACAAAGTCTATATTAAACTCAATTGAACTGAACTAAAAGGGAATATTAAATTCACTTCCACCTCCTAAAGAATGCTTTCTATCACTGATTTAAGTGACTTTACATTCAAATGTAGATGAAGTAGTTACTACTATGCATAGACATATGTAAATGTCACTCAGGAAATTAATGTATTCAAAAAGAAATAAGCACTATTGTGAATTATGTTCAGCTTACAATTACTCAAAAGATAACTTCTAAAACCCAGTGGCAATCAACATATACAGAATATTTTTATGAAGAATTCACAGAAGGTCTTATGTATTCCATGGGTTACAGCATATAGATAGCTTTTATATCTATATTGCTTGAGACTACATATCTTCAATAAAATAAGCCTAAGATAAATTACTTTTTAATTATTCAGGGCTATTGTGAAATTCATTATAAATAAGTGACAGTATAAATGACATATAAAGATATTCAAAAAAGTCTTCTATTATATTAAGCCAGTTTCACTTCATAACAGATGTTTAAAATTTTCTGGATTCTATAATGTATTTAATTCTACCAAGAGGTAAGAAGAGCAAATGGCCCATTGTAGAGGGGAAAAAAGAGCATTAACATTTTCAAATTGAAAGCGTTCTCTCTCCTGAGGAAAAGTCATTTAGTAAATGTTACCCTAATGATGTAAAGAATTAACTCTTTATGGTCTTGATGCCTGGTAGTTGTGTAACATATAATACACTATATTCCTTTACTAAAAAGCCTGTAGTTTAAAAAAAAACACCTTTGTAAAATATGGGATATCATGAATATGAAAAATTAAGCAAGTAAGGTCATGGAATTAATTAGAATTGTGCAAATAAAGTCATCAGTCATACAATGTACATGTTATGGTTGGAAGTTAGAGTGTGTCTACTACAACCTCTGAATTTTAGATGTGAGGATCCTTTGGCCTGGAGGATATCACTGATATTACTTATGACAGGTATATATTCCTGTCCAGTAAAATATATTTTCCCCTATACAATACCTACATTATAGTTGTAGTTTGGCTAATACATCTCAAATATATATTAAAATTTACAGTATAGAAAAAATTATCAATATGAGAGACTATATTTGGGGGGAAATTAAATGTGAAGGGAATGTCCCATATTATCATTCTTATTTAGTATGGTGTTAGCACCTTACTTTAAATAATGTCATTTAATAGAAAAAAAATGTATTACATAACATTTTGTAAAGATTGTCCAAAAATATCACTGAAATCCTAATATGAAAATCTCCAAAATTATTTGCATTTCAGTTGAACTCATTTTTTAGTGCCCACACTATGTAGTTGACTTTCCCGTATGATCATTTTACTGTAAAGTTCTCTTGAGGCTTAAGTAGGGTTCTAGGCAGATCAAATACATTCACTCTTTAATGAACAATATTCAGTAAAATGGCACTACTTTTCAGTAAATATATCCTCGTACACTTAGTACATAAGGAGTGACAGTGATTTTTACCCCTACAGGCAAGCATGGTTTCATTAGGATAAACTGCTATTGTCATGAGAGATAAATGCCTGATCATGACTGTGATTCAGTTTTCCTCATGGTTGTTAGGAACACAGGTCATATGCTGGTGACAAACAAATATTTCTCCTTACTGCGATGAGACCAACCTGAGAGACTGCCACTCCGCTCTGAGCTGTTGTGAGAGCTGGTGGTGCTGAAATCCTGTGACTGGTTGTGTGGCATTCTATTAGACAATCCCTCAGCCAATCGGTAGTCAGGGATGTAAAGTAAGGCTAAGGGTTAAAGGGCAGAGGTCACAGTGGCATCATGTGATTAGTTCACAGCACAAGCCCATGCAGAACATGCAGTTAGCAACTCAGAAGCAGATGTTGGAGGACAGTGGAGGAATGTTTGGCCTATCCTGCCTAATGGAAGTTGAGATGGATTACTGATCACTATTGATAAAGAGCTAAAAGGATGAAAACGATCAGTGTTGGTGTTTGGTAGTAGCAACGGTGGCGGTGGTGACAGTGGTGGTGGGTTGGTAGTAGTGGTGGTGGTACGAATTGTGCAAGGTACTGAATACATGCTGATATATGCTTTTAGTTTAGTGAACCTGGTAATGAATCACTGAACTGAACAACAAATACTAATTTCTATCTCATGCATAAATGATGTAAAAAGAAATCCTCAAGAAATAAGAACCTGACTCACCATTGTTACCTTTATTCTGATCAGGTAGAGAATAACCAAATCCCATCAGATCTGTTTTTTGCTGAATTGAGCTTTTCCATTGTGGATCAGGCAGATCAACAGCCAATTCATGAATGCTGTTGGAATGCAGGATCTGTGTCGTGGCATATGGGGTAGCCTGTGTTATTTGGCTAGAGCTGTTGTAAGTGGTTTTGGTTGTGAAGTCAATGCTGCTATAAATGGCTCCATCTGAGAGCATCGTTGCTGTTTTATCCCCTTGGCCTGGAACCGGTGGCAGCACATCTGTGGTGAACATAGGAAAATGAAACAATTTAATGATGCACAGGAAGCCCAGAACTATCAGGACTGAAGATGAAAAATATATGTGTCATCCTGCATGTTTGCATTTCAGCTGAAATGGGTTTCATGAGCCAATGAAGGATAGATGATGTACAACCTTCGCCAAGCTGTCAGCCCGGTGACAGGCAGGCCTACCGCTCGTCCTTCATGTCTCACTGCTTACCACACATCTTTCTCCATTTTCTTCAACTATGAATGAGAATTTTGGGATATTCCACTACTAAAAAAATGCTTTCAGTTGTTCACTCTGTTTTAGAACCAATAAAAGTATTACCTCTTTTCAGAAGCAATGATAAGTGTGAATATACAAACAGTGGATGAAAATATATTTTTTCCAAAGGACATAAAGTACAACTGCTGAATAGATGCAAAAAATTCCAAAATTATAAGATGGAACTATGAGGTACATTTTTCTGAAGTTTCAATTTGCTGTTTATCTGATTTGATTTCACAGCTTCAGAAATGGAGTATAAGTTATGGTAGCAATTTCTTTTTCTTGGATAACAAAAGAAAATTTTCATGAATATGTCATTTTCACAATGCGGCAGGATTTAACTCCATAAAAAGCAATCTGAGTGGTCAGAGTTTAATTTATGCTACCACCTCTTAGAAGTGGAGAATTAGAGTTTCAAGTTGTAATACAACAAGAGTAAAATTAAACTTTAGGAACTACACTGAATATCGAACAGTCCACTTATTATTTATTATTTTGGTGTGCTAAATTAGCTTTATGTCATGCTTTATAATTCAGAACTACCATCTCTCTCCTGAAATCTAAAAAATAAAAATAAATAAATCACTAAATAACACCATTTTTAATCATGGAGAGTTAAAAGTGAATCTAATTATATGTTTTTTAATAATCTATATTCTAAAAGCCACACTTCATAGAACTTGAGGTCATCAACCAACTTTAGTTTTTCATTATAGGAAATTTTCAACTAGTTATAGTACTATAACATTAAATAATAAACCAAATCATGTTAGTACCAAAAACCAATTTATCATCACAAGGAGGAAGTTTAAGTAGGAACTTAGTCAAAATATCCTCAAAGTTTTCAATGGTAGCTAACAGTATTTGAAATATAAAAATATTTATTTTGTTTTCATATTTTAAAAAAGCTAAAATTTGTCTTCTTTACAACAGTAACAAGACATTTATAATGTATTAGAGGCCTGGTGCACAGATTCATGCACTGGTGCGGGGCGTGGCCTGTGGGAATCAGCCCGCTGTATAGTCAAAATATCCTCAAAGTTTTCAATGGTAGCTAACAGTATTTGAAATATAAAAATATTTATTTTGTTTTCATATTTTAAAAAAGCTAAAATTTGTCTTCTTTACAACAGTAACAAGACATTTATAATGTATTAGAGGCCTGGTGCACAGATTCGTGCACTGGTGGGGGGCGTGGCCTGTGGGAATCAGCCCGCAGTGGGAGCAGCTGCTCATCCCATCAGCCGAGCAGCGCTCCCACTGTGGGAGTGCACTGACTACCAGGGGGCAGCTCCTGTGTTGAGTATCTGCCCCCTGATGGTCAGTGCATGTCATAGAGACTGGTTGGCATGTCATTCTGGTTATTCTGCCGTTCGGTCGCTGGGCTTTTATATAGAGAGATTCTGTACACTGTATAATTTAGGTATTTCTGAAGACTTTGAAGCCTGAAATTCCAACCTGTTTTACATTTAAGTGGATATATACTTTATTGAAGTAAATATTTTAAATGAATATCAGATTGTTAAACATATTCAAATTTAAACATTTCATCAAGGTGTATAAGCAAATAAAATCATTTTGTAATTTCAGAATTTCACAACTACTTTCTTGCTGTTCTTGCTTTTAGTTGTAAACTGATTTAAAATTTGATGATGAAGCAGCATATTTCATTCTCAAGTTCCACTACCATTTTTATTATCAAAACTTTTAATATTTAATAATATATAAAAATTGATTGTGGAAATAAATCCTTCACTCTGGGGAAGTTATCAGTTTCTGCCACTTCCACGAAGTCTTTCACTGATAAATATTAACTAGTATGGGACCCGACTTCCCAATACCTTGAACTTGAGCTTCTCCAAAGTTTTAAGATTTAAATTGTGAGTCACTCCAACAACAAGCTTTGGAAGTGGTTGTGTGTTCAATGTTATTCTGCAAAAGCTAAGGCTGTGGCTCTAAAACAAAATCTCTCTCTCTGCTGGATGAAATTAGTCAGCCTTCAAGTTCAAGTGCTTCTATATTGATTTTTTGGGGGCTGCATATTACCTTCAAATGTTATTTGATCATTCTTACATTTTCAAAAAATAACTTGAATTCTATCCTACCATTGAAAAATTGGAAGCATATGCATAATACAGGGTGTGGGGGAAATCCTCTAACATCAGATGCTTTGGAACCTGGCCAGCCTTCCCCACAAAAGCTTGCACCAGAATAGGTGCTGCCATCTTTAGACAGGGTTCCTATTTTCCATTTTGCACAGGTCACATCTACCATCCTTAGCACTTCAGGTTGGCTGACTGGCACTTGTTAACATTTGAGTTTGAAACCTATGAATGACAGAAAACCTTTCATCCAGTTGGAATCACTCATGAATCATTCTGTAGTTTTCTAATATCTTGGTTAAAAATGAATTTATATATTTTTTGTCCTGGCATAATTAATTGTATAAATGCCTGTATCCATTACTGTATCATAGTTACTTGAGGACAGAAACATAAAAGATTTATATCTGTATTCCCATATTTTCCTCATATAGTATTTTACAGAGTATAAGCACTCACTTAATGGTTAAATATATTTTTAATAATTTGTATTGCCAAAATGAAGACTTATGCAACAATGAGAAACTTTATCATTCCAAATGTATTGGTGTTCCATTTTTAAAGGGAAATGTCAGTGTACATGATAATTCTTCTCAGTGAATATGGCTGTACTACAATCCTAACTGTGAGCCCTGTCTTTAGGACCTAGGCTCTTGAATCTGGCAGACTTGCATTCTAAACCCAGATCCCAAATTAATCATTTTGAAAACCTTAGTTTTTTTTTACCTTTAAAAATGAAATATGTTTATCTATCTCAAATATTTATTGTGCAAAGAAAATGAAAAAAAAATAGTACAAAACTTCCCAACACTATTTCTGGTACATAGTAAATGCCTAAAATGTCTACTACTGAAAATAGATTCCGTAGACCCTGCAAAAACATTGGCTTGGCCTTGTTGTTCATCTGTAATATATGTCATGTCATGGAAATGCGGTAGAAATATAAACAAAACCTTGAAAACCCACAAATGAAACCTTTGGCTAAATTAGATGGAGAAAATTTAAATGTTAGTGTAGCCTGCTAGAAATTGAAAAATAATTATTTTCCTCCATCATTAGGTATTTATTCCTTTACATAAAAATTGAATGGTGTGTTATTCCAATACAAACACAAAAAGTAAAAGAGGAAACTATTCCTTGACTGATTAAAAATCCTATCAAAATACCAATGGCATATTTCACAGATCAAGACAAATACTCCAAAAATTTATATGGAACCAAAAAAATACCTCAAATAGCCACAGCAATCTTTAGAAAGAATAACGTTGGAGGAATCAAGCTATACTACAAAGCCACTATGATCAAAACAGCCTGGTACTGGCACAACAGGTATAATATTGATCAATAGAACAGTGCCCATCAATAGATGGATGGATTAAAAAATGTGGTACATTTGCAAAATGGAATACTATGCAGCTGTAAAAAGGATCTCTTACCCTTTGAAACAGCATGAAGAGACCTGGAGAGTACTATGCTAAGTGAACTAAGCCAGTCAGAGAAAGACAAGTATCATATGGTCTCATTTATATGTGGAATCTAATGATCAAAATAAACTGATGAACAAAATAGATCCATAGACATAGAAGCATGGAACAGATGGATGTATTTCACAGGGAAGTGGTGGGTGGGAAGCAATTAACCAATGAACTTATATATGCATAGCCCACGGACAGACAATAGTGTAGGGAAGGCTTGGAGAGGGGGTGGAAGTGGGTGGAAGAGGTCAAGAGGTGAAAAATTTGGACATGTTTAATACTTTCAACAATAAAGGTAAATTTTAAAAAGAGCTTTGGGAACAAAATTTCTTTTGACACAGGCAGTCTGGGCAGGTCAAGGGGGCATGTTCTGCCTACCTGGTGAGGAGATACTCAAGTACAGAACGTACCCATGATGGAGTGATAGCCTACAGTGCAGGCTCAGAGTTTGGTCAAGCAGAGAAGGCAGCCACTTTCAGAGGCATTGGCTATATAGGAATCCTAAACGGGGTGTACTAAATTATAGAAAGTAAACTAGAAGTGGAATGGTCTGAAAACTTACTTTCTATTCTCTTATTTACTCTAATGATGCATATTGACCACTGATTGTATGGTAAGGTTTGTGTTAAACCCGTGTGTGTGTGTGTGTGTGTGTGTGTGTGTGTGTGTGTATTATCCATTTAATTCTCATTACACACCGAAGAGCTAAGAATGATTATTTTCTGTATTTTATTTGGAGAATAGGAGGGAGTTCACCTTCTTATAGTTGGTATTAACAGAACGCATACTTATACAATACTTAATAACTATTATTTGAAATACTGTTTTGATGATATTCAAACTGGCATTGGTATTCCATTGTTTTTTTTTAAATTTTATTTATTTTATTGATTTCAGAGAGGAAGGGAGAGGGAGGGATAGAAACATCAATGATGAAAACTAATTATTAATCAGCAGCCTCCTAAAAAACCCACTACTGGAGATTGAGCCAGCAACGCAGGCATTTGTCCTGACTGGAAATGGACCCTTTACCTCCTGGTTCATGGGTCAACACTCAACCATTAAGCCACATCAGCTGGGTGGTATTCCATTTTTAAAGAGAAAAAGCCAGCATCCATGATTATTCTTTTAATTCAATATATTTATATACTCATACATGTGAAATCCACCATTAAGGCAAATAGACTCAGAATAGTTGAATCTAGTCCTGGGTTTCCTGCAGTAAATCTACCTAGAGATATAGAAATCTTCCAGTGGATTTATCCAAACTTTCTTGAATTACAGCACTACCTTCTTAATTAATCACCTCATTTTTCCACTGTAACTGCATTCTCCACCCAGCAATGAGCTGGATGACTTAAAGCAGTATTTGGAACCTAGAATTCTCCTCTTAGAAATCTATGAGTGGCTTCTGGTCATGCTTTGAAGAAAGTTTAGTCTCTGTGTGGCTTAGAAGGCACTCTGTGATTTTTTACCACTTCTGCTGTCTTGCACTTTATATTCAAGTCACTAGATAATTAATTTCTCCAATAGGTCAATATCTACCTTATATCTGTACCTTAAATTATGATAGTTTATTCTCCACACATCTTTTGTCACTTTTTTGATTAATTCTTAACTCTGCTTCAGATATAACGCTCCTTTCATAGAACTGTCTTACTTCCAATGGGCAGCTTTCATGTGGGGTATTGGCAGCACAGCTCAAGTCCATTTTCTGTCTGCACAAATTTTTGCCAATGGAAAACTCATATGTATGTGCCAAATTAAACACTGGGACCAGAGACTTCTCTAATCAAGTCTTTCTCTAAACCCACTGATCTCTTATTGACTGGATGGAAAGATGGAGGGGGGAGAGTGGTGAATATTTATAGTAGGTCCAATCCTGTCTCCCTATAAAGACCTATGGAAAGAACCCTGGCACCAAATTTTGGACACTTCAGCATGTCAGCTACTTAGCACCTTTTTGTCTTTTATTTGGGGTACCAGATATCAATTACAGAACTACAGGAAAGTTCTCACTCAACATGTTAACTTTAAGTGTATACTCATTACCCTAAACATCCAGATGGACGACCAAACACCAGACTAGGGTCCCGGCCGGCATGGCAGGTGTCAGTCCTGGGTCCCGGCTGCCCATGGTGGGAGTCAGTCCTGGGTTTTGGCCACCTGTGGCGGGAGTCAGTCCTGGGTCCTGCTGCGTGCAGCACGGCAGCAGGAGGGAGCTGTGGGCCCCAGCCGGCCACCCATGGCATGGTGGCGGGAGGGAGCTGTGGGAACGGAGCCATGCTGCCATCAGACTGGCCTCTGGTTCCCTCCCCACACCCGCAGGCTCTGGGGAACTGGAGCCATGCTGCGATCAGACTGGCCTCTTAGTCCCTGCTCCCATGGCCTGCAGGCCTGGGGAACCAGAGCCATGCTGTGATGGGACTGGACCCTACCTGAGGGGTCCTGGATTGTGAGAGCATGCACTTGGGGTGGGGGGGGTCCTTCAGCCCAACCTGCCCTTCTCACAGTCCAGGAGCCGGGGGGGAGTGGACCGAAGCCACAGTCTAGCCTCCCTCTGTGGGAGGTGACCGTCCAATCAGGGGAAGGTGATGCCCCCAATCATGCCTCTGCTGCTGCCACTGCCGGCCACGAGGCTGCCTGAGCCTCAGCCATCACAGCCACTGAGGCTTGCCTGAGTCTTGCTCAGCCCTCATTGCCTGAGCCTCGGGCCCTTGAAGCAGCAGAGGCCATTGGTGGCTTTCCAGAACCCCAGGCCAGCCCTGGGCAAGTGGCAGCGGCCATCGGGAGCACTTACAGTTGCCACTGCCATGTGGGGAGTGCAGGCTGCCCTCTGCCGGGCCCACCTCCCCCACCCGCATCCCTGATGCTGCAAATCCCTGCATCCCCCCTGCTGCTCACACAGCCTGCTGATTGGTCATTACATGACAGCGTCCCGACCAATTTGCATATTACCTTATTATTAGATAGATGAGCATAAAGACCATTTCTCTTAATATTGATATTATATTTTTACTGTCTGCCACAATGCCAGGTACAAAGGGCATGTTCAATAAATATATGATGAACGAATGAGAGAAGTGAAATAACTAGACCAAAATTATAAGCCCTGTTTAGCAGCATAGTTCCTGATTTTAGTAATCTTGTACTAATAGTCTTAAAAACAAAATATATTATGAATATTTATCTTCTTGGTTAATAATGACTTCCTTAAAAACTTAGTTTTACTCAAGGTAATATAGCAAAATAGTTTTATAATAAAATATTCTGCAAATGTATTATGCTGTTAGTATATGTGCTTCACTAATTTTAATTATCAAAAATACTCTTTGGTATATCTTTAAAAAATCTAGAAAATCCAAGAAAACAAATAGCAAAATTTTGAAAAACATTACTTACCTCCACGCCCAAAATTCCCAATCTCATTTGGGCCACTATTGCTATTGTTGACTGGCAAGCTTGTGGCTGGCCATGAATCAGCAAGCCACGGATAATTGGGGTCCCCAGCATTTAGAAGACCTGGGCGGCTAAAACAGAAATTAAGAAGAAATCAGCTCGTGAAGCTCAGGGGGAGATGTGGACACCAGTCCCATGCACTGAAATTAATTTAAGATTTTAATTTACTTCAAATTAAAATGTGTACACTTTCTAAAATTAAGAAACTTTAGCAGTTCATTAGGTTATATATAGATGTCAGTGGAAGCAGAGGGTCCTGCCTGGGATTCTGCTGACATCCAAGTGAATTCTGTCATCTGCCCTGAAACTGGTGGGAATCAGTAACATAGCAGGATCCCCAAATGAGGTTTGATGATGAATTGGCACCTCAAGGGAACAATTGCTCAGAGTGACTGCTCAGTATCAGCCATTTCCAGGACTTGGGGCTATTGCTGCCTTGATTCCTGCAAGCCCCATATTTATCTGTCCCCTGAATGCTGTAACCCCTGTTATGAACCTCATGCTTGATTTAGGGCAAAGGACTTGAGGAAAATTAATGAATAGTATTTATACTGTTCCATCAATAGCACATTTCCAGGTTTTCTAAATTGCAAAATATAAGGGGTATATATTACAGTTTCCTTCTAAGGTAATAAAAGATCTACTGTGATTTCATCCGGCATGTGCATAAAGTCCATGAAGAAAACTTTCTTCGCATCATAGCTAATAAAGAATTCACATATTTAATATTAAAGATGGGGATTTTAATTCCTGTATAGATTATTCAATTATTTACAAATAAATAGCAACATGTATAACCATTGTACTTTTTTTTTTTTGGATAGAAATTCTGGTATAATCCCTAAGAAAAACATGAGTTTCTATGGAAACTGCAATAAGAAGATCCAACTGCTTTCTTGCTACATACAGTAGTTCTCATTAGACCTAATCTCTTTTTGCAAAAATATTGATTAAATGGGAGATTGGAAGTTATTACCAGAGCCTAATTACAATCTTCATATTGGCAAAGGGAAAACAGATGAGGATATATGAGTTTGTTATCAGATTTTATCAATTTCAATTGGGTATCTAAAGTTGTGGAATCCAGTCCTATCAATCTACAGCCTATTCATCATATATGAATCATTTACTTTGTGATCGATTATGTGTAATTGTTCACTCACTGCAATTTAGTGAGAGCCAATAAGGAGTCTTAAACAACAGCAACTTCATTTGCTAATGTCTAATTAATGCAATAAAAATCCTGCTAACAAATGAACACATTCCTTGTGATATTTACTACTAATTTCTTCAGGGACATCTGGGAGATATGAAACATCTGGACTTGATTTCTCTAAAGTGCACAACAGATAGATCATTAAACCTGTGGTAAGCCATTTAATTCCTCCTAGAATTCTCAGACGTGTAAGTGATCGTTTATTACAATAAAACCTCTTACTATAGTTTCCCTCATCCTGATTACAAATGGGAATAATAATAATAAAAAAAAAGAATCTCCTTAGCATACCTTCCATTGCTCATTAGTCCTCCATCTCCTCTTTGAAATGTAACTGTAAAAAAAAAAAGACACATACACACACACGTAGTCAATATTAATTACAACTAATAAAAAGTACATATTGGCCTTTAGTTTAGAGCTGAGGCCTCTGGGAATTTTAATAAAATATAATTAACGTAATTGTACAGAGAGTAGAAAGGAATGATTTGGCTCAGGGCAAAGCAATCACTTGCTCCAACTTTAAAAAGACATTTAAAAATTCTTTAAGCCAAATGTATGGTTAAGTCAAAGGGACAAGTTGTATTTGGATGTCAAATGTTACAGATGTTACAATTGGTGTATATATTTAGGAGCATTAAAAACTGACAAGTTATACTGGAGAATTATGAAATCATGACTTTTATTATTAATATATGAGTATCCTAATTAGAAGGAATGCATAGAATGCAAATAATGGAAAGTGAAACAAGATAGTCCAATGATATAGGTGACACAGGTTGAGGACATATTCCTCACCATCACATATCTTTTTAGGAGCACTGATCAGCACTGTGAGTTGAACAGCTATAGTTACAATACATATGAACTGTATTTAATAGAGAATGATGTACTCAGTGCTTTGTTTCATCATCCAACACTCACAAAAATGTTTTCAAATAATTAATCCGGAATATATTCCAATTGTATGTAATGATTACAAACCCAAGTTCTTTATAAAACTGTGGAACTTATTAGCAACACCAACAAGCATCCAATAGAATCACAGCTGGAGAAGCCACTCCCTCCAGTCACCAGATTCCATTCAACAACTAACAGCATGAAAGTGGGCTTCATGGGATGAGCCAAAGAATGTCAATATCAGTTCAGGTCCATCATTGCTTGTTCAAAACCTTTGCAGCCAAATATATTTGAAATCCAAAATATATCAAATCTGAGAAAGGTATTAAGTTGCATTGTATGGAGAGGGTCTAGACAACAAATTATAGTCAACAATACTTAATAATTTTGGAGGGAAATGTGAATATTCATGATTAGTAGGATAAAGTCTGCAAATAATTTCACATTACTTAGGATGAAATGACTTAACTTGAAAATCATGCAAAATATTTGGTATTTAGAAACTTATGGATGTCAAAATTAAAATTATGCCTCAAATTAGTATGGATCAGCTAAACCAGTCACTGGAATGAAGGGAAAATAGCATTTCAGGTATGAAAACCCAACATATCTTATTTTTGGAAGACATTGATTTTATTTACAATGTGTGTTTTTAACTTAGTGAGTAAAAATAAAAAATAAATGAAAATATATGAATTGATTCATATTTTAAGTAAACTGAGGAACCTATTGTTACTCAAAGTATACACATACTAAATACTTTTGTACAATCTCTCTGTAATTCATCTGTCCCCCAAATTTCCACTATCAAATATGATCACGCTATTCATTTTTTAAAATTTCCAAAAACAGTTCTCCAGTCCTTTCCTTACGTTCGTCTAATGGCATCTGTCTCATGACATTAAGGCGATTCGATCATATTCCCAAAGGCCCATCAGAACCTTCCTGAGGCACTACAGCATGAAGCAGTGCTTTCAGGGATGCCGGCTGGCACCTGGAGTATACCACCTTACGAATTTTTGAGGTAACATCTCAAATGCATTATAAAACAATCGTAACATAATCTTTGCATCGACCGAGGAATACTGCTACTCTGTTTTCTAGTGGCTCACTTAAGTTCTGGGAATCAGGAATGGGCAGTGTGTCCACCACTCATTGGGTCCCTCTAATAACTGCATTTAACAACAAAAAAGAAGAATTAATCTGAAACATTTAATGAAAAAAACAGCATGAGAGGTGTGAAATAGAAGCCTGATAAGGGAAATAACCCCAACAAAATGTGGAAACTGTACAGCTAATTAACTCTCCATCTGATGTGACTTTCTAGTTACATGATTTCTAAGTGACTGTTTTACTCTGCTAAAATAGAGTTAAGAAAGTGGCGTGAATATCATTGTGAATATGGAAATAAGCAGCCACTGATGGGCTACACCTTAAAATACCTGTTAGGAGGTATATAGGGAGAAGCTAAGTATTTCTCCCTAATTTAGATTCTCTTTTTTCCCCACCTGAAGTCTCTGTTGGTGACAGAAAAATAAATGACATTAGAGAAAAAAGGACAACTGATGAGGCACAGAATTGAGTTGCAGTCAGCTCGCACATACTAACCAATGGTGAATTCTTCATAACATGCACCTCTGCATACCCACTACACAAAAGCAAAAATACATAGTACATTGTGTAAGTACATAACTAACTCGAAGTGGCCTATACACACCATCTACCCTAATAAAAGAGAAACATGCAAATTAGCCATCCCTCTACTACGCTCAAGCCATGCCCACAAGCCACGCCCACCACCCAATCAGAGTGACTATGCACATTAACCTGACAAAGATGGTGGTTAATTTGCATACTCAGGTGCCAGGCACCCCAGGAGGCCACGGCGGCCCCTTTGCCACGGGTGCCCAGGACCTTCGCTGGCCCTGGGAGGCAAGGCCATAGCCACGCCTGTGGGATCCCAGGACCTTCACCTGTCCGGGAGGTGAGGCCGCCTGTGCCTAGCCATGCCCATGGGCTCCTGGGACTTGCTGGCAGAGAGCGGGAGGTTTGGAGGACTTGACAGAGCAAGAGACCACTGGACATAGAGCGAGAGAGAGGGTGGCTTGGAGGGCGCGGCTCCCTCTGTCACCCCAGCTTCCTCATCACAGCTGTGGAAACTGACAGCAGGGAAGAGGAAGTCCCACCCCGACAGGATCAGCCAGAATCACCCTTTGGTCAGACAGCTCTCAGCGGCCCAATAGCCAGGACTCTCATTCACCTGCATCTCAGACTGTGACAGTAGAGAGGTGGGACTATGTCTAAGAACAACTGTTGATACAATGTAGCTCTGCAGCCGAAAGTTGCTGGCATTATTGACAGAAAATGTCTGCAGAGCAGCGTGAGTCTGATCTTGAAAGAAGGCGGCGCCTGCGACAGGATGTACAGTGAGGCCTTGACTTACGAGTGTCCCGACTAACGAGTTTTTCGAGATACAAGCCGTCTTTCGGCTGATTTTTTGCTTTGAGTTGAGAGCTAAAATTCGGGTTACCAGCCAGCTTCAGATACCCCACTGCTAGTTGGCGCAGCGAACGTCACAGTGAACGCCACAACATCAGCCCAGCATCACGTGTCTCACTCATTCACTTTATGATTTGACATACGAGTAATTTGAGTTACGAGCTCC